TTTWAAAAAATCTCTAGAAGAGGAGATGCAAATGAGGGACATGAGAACACCATGACTTGCAATCTATAGGTATATTCAATCTTCTTTCCAACGTCTCTTCTACTCAGGGGTTGACCAAGCACTCCTAAACTGCTGTGGTGTAGACCACCACAAGGTCTTGTTCATAGAGCTCCCTGAGGTATTTGCTCCAATTTATGACAAGAAGTGCACTGTCAACAACAACAATGAGATTGTAAAATTTCCTTGTTTCTCCAAGACTGGGACCAAGGGAGAGAGGAGGGATATTGACACAATTTGTGCTGTTGAGATGGTGTTGTACTGATTCAGGACAAGAGGATCTGTTGCTAGCAGAGCAATGGCAATGGCATTTGGGTTGACATCCACAGTGGTGTACAAGTGGATCAAGTTTTTAAGGAGAGTGCTTCTCTTTGTGAAGCATCCACATGYCATGGTCAGTGTTCCAAATAAGCAAGAAGTGGGTGGGTCTGCTTGCTTTCAAGCKATYGGAAAAAAATATTTTTGAGAACATCACATTTGGGATGCAGCTACTAATGGACTCACGAAGAATGCCATTCAAGCCTCTGGCAGCTGACAACTGGTGCAAATGACTGGTGCAAACAGAGACCAYACTRCATTGTGCCAGATGGAAGGATAAGGATCTCTGTCTTCAATTGCCCTGGCACTTGGTATGGTGGTGATAGTGTTATCTCTGACCATGGTCTATATCAAAGGATTGAGGAAGTCCATGATGCTTTCAATGCAAAGGCTGTTGTCAGCTCTGCCTTTGCACTGAAAGAAAGGGAGCATATCCTGATCAAGAGCACACATAAGGACCCTGAGATAGACAACCTTCTTCTGTTGAACAGGGATGCAACATCCTTGAGACAGATGTCACCAGAATGGGGGATGTGGATGATACAAGGACAGTTATCAAGAATCAAAGACTGGATGTTCTTGGAAGAGCTTGGAGAGAGAGAGAGAGAGAGAGAGAGAGATGAGATCATCATGAACTTGTTGATCAACTTGTACAACTTTGAGTGCAGTACCATAGGACACAGCCAAATCCTTTCAGTCTTCATGATGACACCGGCAGCAACTCCCAACAAGGTACCCTATCAAAAACAGGACCTTCAAGGAGGATTCTTCTATATAGGGTGATGGCTATTGCCAGGTGCAAACAACTTGTTTGGGGGTGAATCCCATGATCACTTTGTTTGGTTTGGGGATGATTGTTGCTGTGGAAAATAGGTTGGAAAATAATGCTATCAGTTAGATAAATTGTCACGATTGAGGGATTGATACAGTTGAATCAATATGATTGGCATTGAAACAGTTGAATCAATACAATTCAAAATTGATACGACTCATGCTGTAAATTGCAATGCATTGAACATACCCTCTACCAACTCACACGCTTCTGTGTTTATCATGGTTGCTATCTCACCATGGTTGTATCTGACAAGGAAGTTTAAGTTTCATAGTGGTGTTATACTAGTATCATATAAAGAGTTAGTAGTAGTAGTAGTAGTAGTAGTAGTAGTAGTAGTAGTAGTAGTATGAGAACAACGCCGCTGTACTAGGAGATCAAACTGTATTTGGATCAAGCCTACCGTCTGCATACAACAATTCTTGACTTTGTTGTTCCTGATTAGCCYACTGTCCAAACAAAGTTCTTCTGGACTTCATTATTCGTGTTTGCATGAATCTAGTAGTAGTACTAGTAGTAATTRTAATAGCTGTCGGAGGTCATGAATCTAATAGTTTTTTAGCTCAAATTCTACTGAGATACTAATATAGTAGTAATTGCTCCCCATTTCAAAGATGACTTAGGGTGTCAAGAAACAAAAAGAATTGTGGTCGATTTGTATGCCCTTTCCCATAGCAGTGGTCATAGAAGTCTAGATAAAGCGACAAAGAAAGAAGAAATATTCAGGAGAAGTGATAACGGCGTTTAAGTAATACCATCATACGAGAGGTATTATTGAGCAGATCAGAAGAGGTAGGTCAACGGAATGCTACAAAAATGATGATAACGTTAAGGCTTTGGGCCCATAAGTCCGATGCTTATGAAGTAGATTGGTAAACCTACTATATTTAACCAAAAAATTGAAAGAAGCAGCTTGCGGTAAATSRGATTTACAGATTAATGTGATCAAAGAGTAGTTTTTGTGACTGCGATCGTCGTGTTGGTTGGTGGGGCTTCCGCTATGCTTTTGTAAAGGATGAGAAGAAGCAAATTCGTCTGCGAGTGATATTTCTTTCGAAAGAGAAAGTGAATAGTTTTTCCCAGCATGATATAGTGCTGTAGTGCAATAGAAAAGTTTTCACCAAAGTAGTTAGCTTCCTAAACCAAACCAGTGGTTTCGTCCAAGCCGAGGGCGATGTTAAGATTTTGAACGGCGGCACCACTGGCACCCTTGCCAAGATTGTCCAACCGAGCACACAAGAGAACTTGCTCTGCTTCGTCATTCGGAAAGACGAAGAGTTCCATATTGTTGGTATTTTTGAGCGTATCAGGTCTCAAGAAAGCTCCGCGCTCGAGTAGTCCTGCATCTTTGACACCGGGCTCACCAAGGGGCATGACCGACACGAAATTAGAGCCCTCATAATGCTTCGAAAGGGTCTCGTGGATTGTCKCACCCGTGGTYCCTTCTTTGAGCCAATCGTAGTGAAGGGGTACCGAAACAACCATTCCTTGCGCAAACGTCGCGATTTGTGGCTGGAAAAGGGGTTTTCGTCCGAGGGTAGAATACTTGGCCATTTCGGGGAGATGCTTATGTGTGAGTCCAAATCCATATCCGGCCCACGGTTCTGTGCTTTGGCTCTCGTCTTCGAACATTTCCATCATTCCCTTTCCACCGCCAGAGTATCCCGAAATGGCATTCACAGTGAGGGGTGTTCCTTCTGGAATAATTCCCGCGTCGACAAGTGGCCGGGTCAGCCCGATGAAACCGGTAGGGTAACATCCCGGATTAGAGATGCGCTTGCTTTTAGTCAAGTTTTCTCGTTGTTCTGCCGATATTTCTGTACACGACAAGTCCCATCACACCCACAATGTGTCCCATAATTAGAAAAATGATGTATTGTTCCAAATACCATGTTGTCGAATGTTGTCATTCRAGAAACCGATCGGARCAAAAAAATCATGTTTAAAATTGAGCAAACAATTATTGCGGCTGAAMATCTTTCACGCCGAACACGAAATGGATGTAGTCGCGGTGTCATYTGTCGTTGATATTATTATGTTATCTTGCAATGCACTTACCAGGAAATCCATAGTCCCACGTATCGTCTACTCGATAGGCAGTCGATGCATCGATTAGGACAGTTCTGTCATTKTCGGAGTCGACAAGACCTGCAGCTTCGATTGAGGCAGCATCAGGAAGGCCTGCATTGAAAAAAATCAAACAAGGAAGAATTGACGCATCGATTGATTCAATTGGTTTAATTGAAACCCATAACAACGACAGGGAAGTAAGGATTGTGAGTTGGTCGTACATGAAATAAATTTCTGCTCCGCTCATGCCACTCATTTTGTTATTGGATTCAGCTTTTTTTTCGCCTGTAAAGAAGACCAACGACTCCAATCACTGTGTGGGAGCTCTCATTCATTGTTGCAGCCTTGCCTGCCCAATATAACGTACACAAAATGACGACATCGGCTTCGTTGATGAATTTTTTCCTCGTGGCAAGATCTTTTCTTAGATCCGAGGGAGGTGAAATAATCTCTAGATCGTCACGTGACTCGATTCGTCCTCGAACTTGCAGACCCGTCGTGCCGGCCTCTCCGTCGATGAACACCTTGTGCTTGGCAAGGAGCTGCGTCGTCGTCGTCGTCGATCGAAGGGAAATGGGAGCAAAGCCCAGTGTGCTTGGGGCGCCAACAAGGATTGCCGCAATAGATAGCTTCATAGTATAGCTTTGTGTTCTTGTATTTTCTGTACGGTAGGTCAGATTTGTAATTTGTAGTTTGTKTTCCGGCATCTGTCTTCGCCAACAGCGAGGCTGAGAAGATAGTGGTACAACGACATGCGCAAAAAATTCCAGCAGTTGGTTGATCCGGAGGAGGTGCAAATTCATGATTGGTAACAAAAAGATCGTGAAGCCTGAACTTGACACGTATTTGTTGAGCGTTGCCTTTCTCACGGTATGAGTTTTTCTGGYGAACCTAAATCCCTAACCCCAATTTCTAAAGGAGAGACTAATACAGTACGTATCATATAGTAGCATGGTATTCTACTAGTACTAGTAGTCGTAACAGTTTCATACGGCAGGGTATCATGATGTAGTGCACCACGCCTCCAAAAGCTGCATCCATAATCCATACAAATCTGTGAACCTGCTGGTCCAACTGATATCCTAGTACATGGACTACTACTAGTAGTTTTTCTCACCTTTATTACTACTA